ACCACCCTATGCGAAAGATGAGACTTTGAAACTCAGAAAACAAAATATTCGGCCTTTCAACAGAAACTAGGAGTGACAATGTAAAAATATGATATAAAAATTTTCCTTGGAATTTTCTCTTTTTTTCAGATTGAGTTAAGCTTTAAAGAATCAATGTTATAATGCTAATAAACCTTGTCAAAATATTACAATCATTTTTTCAGAAGAATCAAAATCAGTGAAAACTAAACACTTATTTCATGTGTTACGTCTACATCTATATGCAAAACTAAGATATTGTCTGCAACTTGGAGTTTGCGGAGTTAGCTCTATGGAATTTATCCTGTAGCTATAAGTCAGTTTATCACATAAAACGCGGCACAGGAGTGTAATAAAGCCTTTAAATAAAAACGATATTACACTTGTGTAATAACACTTTGACGTGACGTCATTTGCGCTATATAGAAACATAGCGTTAAAGCGCGCTAATGATAGCGTTACACTATAGGCGCGTCATTGAAAAAAAATTACTCATTTTAACAGTTTACTGTTCTTATTTTATATATGTGATAAAAAGAATATTATATTCGTGCAGATTCAATACTTAATTTATTGAACTCGTTGAATAAAACAATATTATGCTCGCCAGAGGCTCGCATAATATGATTTCATTCAACTCGTTCAATAAATTTAGTATTAAACTACACTCATTCAATATCCTCTATATATTATTTGTTAATTTAGTAACATTCGTTCATCTTATATTCATTTCAAATTGTGTAGAATAGTTTGGGCCCTATAAATCAGATCTTTGCAAGCATCTATCGTTACAAACCGAACTTAACTTCTGTTTATTTGACCGTTAAAATGAATACATGCATGTATTTCCAAAATATATCACTACAGAAAGATGTTTCTACTGTATTATTTTATTGTGTTTAGAAAAATGTTGCATACTTGTGCAAACAATTACATATTATATATTCTTACATATACATAGTCTCATCTATACATATTTTAAACATAGACAAATATACAACGAAAACAATGTATATCCATATAAGACACATTATGTACGTCCCAATTCTTTTATATTCAACAACTTTAGATAACGAGTTGGCGAGCATCCTTTTATGTGCGTGTGTCATTTAACTTCCTGATGAAATACGTTAAATATTTGGAATGGAAACTGAAAGAGTAGAGTTGAGAATAAAAACTGTTAAAGACAATATTTGTTGTCTTCAACATTGACATAATACGCATTTAAAAATATTTTAAGGGACCTAAATGATCTTACAATACTACATCTTAGCTGATTAATACGATTAAATTTTGTACACTAAACATTAAAGCTGTTGTGTTTGTATTAAAGTCATACAGATAATTTTAAAGCAAATTTTTCCTTGATTGTATCTCATGTTAAGTTATGATGAAACAAAAGAACAATAACAAAGAAAAAACTTCTTAAACATTTTAATTACAATAGAGTGACACCTTGCTATGTTTTGTTTTTCTAATAGTAAATAACTTTTGAACTTTTTAAAACATTGTCAATGTTAGACTTCGTGAAATTTCTCTTACATTCAATGCATGTACTTGATGTTATTTTCATAACTATAGATAAAGTCAATAGAAGTACAATTAGTTTAGATGTCCCCTAAATCCCTTATTTTAGCACATCGAGCTATATATATATATACACTGAACAAAAAGTTCTAACTGATCACCCTGAGTTTTCGCTTATATATGAAACAGAATAACACCAATAGATCCGACTTTTATTTTATTTCGAAGAGAATGAACACATTGAGAATAATAAAATTATAACATTTTTCTATTTAAATAATACTTTATCGATATTTTAAAAAAAAATATTTTAGCAGTAGTTGTATCTAGATTAACATGATATACACGACCAGATATTTTTATTTCACTTTAATATTGACTTTACAATTTCTTCTTTGATGTCTATACAGTAGATCTATCGTCAATCTGAAGTCATTTACGGAATTTCTAAAGGTCATGTTTTGTCTTGAGCACAGTAATTGGATATTTTTCTATATAGATCTACAATGTTAAACTTTGTTGATTACGATTATGCCATAATATCTTTGAAATATCCTAGATTTTGTTACTAAGTATATAATAACATAGCTTTTAATCATTCTTACCATCTGTAACATCAAGACGTCTTATTTCCACTATAAATACAAAGAATTGTTTTTTAGGATTTTCAGGGTCAGGTCTCGCTCCTAATCTTGGTATTGTGACCCTCCATGTTGTAAGGTCATGGGGTGTAAACTGTTCTAGCGTGTGCTCAAGATCGTCAAACTGTACATCATCTTCTAATGAACTGGCTGACTTAAATTCAAAAGTAAATATATTTTTTAAACAAAAGGCAAACTGACAGAAAGATGCAAAATTTTATCAGGAAGAATAAAATTTGTAAAATAGTTCGTAACAAACTGGTTTTGGTTAGGTTTTACAACGCGTTTACATACGAGGGGTTATATGACAACCTTTCAGCTTTACCTCAGGTGTCCCCGTGCATTATTTCAGCCACGAGTGGAAACGTTATTAGCACAACCAAAGTTCTGTGAGCAAACTGTATAGTTTCCTAACATGAAGCAGCAAAAGTCCCTGGCGGAATTCAATCCTAGAGAGGTGAGGGGCAAGTTGTTGGAAATCAACAACCTTAACCAACCGAAAATGGACGCTCAATATACCAAATCAATTCTGTACTTGATAACAAGGCATCAATAACTTTGTGTGCAGAAGATGGTTCACCAATTTTCTTCTATATCTAATTATTCTGGGATAATCCTGTGTCTTTTTTAACTTTTTATGTTATCATAGCAACCAAGATCTGTTTAAAGATTGAAATAAAAAATCATAATGATGGACGTTTTAGTAAATGTATTAAGCAAGAACCGGTTGAACCATGTGATGCTCCCTGAATAGGTTATGGACACAGGAAAGTATACCTCTTGTAGTGTCAGAGTTATGTCACAGACAAAGTTCAAAATGTAAAAAATGAACCAACGGAAATTAATCCAAAATTAGGCAAGACAGAGTTATGATTCTTTTGCAATGAACTTCTACCTAATGAGATCTATCTACCTAGAAAGTTTCATGTTGATACCTCTGATAGTTTCAGAGATATGACCCGGACAAAGTTCAAGGTGTAAAAAATAAACAAAGGGCAATTACTCCAAAATTAGGCAAGACAGAGTTATGTTTTTTCTGCACTGCACTTTTACCCAATGTGATATATCTACCTACAAAGTTTCATGTTAATATCTTTTATAGTTTTAGAATTATGTCACAGACAAAGTTCAAAGTGTAAACATGAACAAAGGGCAATAACTCCAAAATAAGGCAAGACAGAATTATAATTCTTTTACACTGTACTTTTGCTTATTGAGATCTATCTACCCACAAAGTTTCATGCTGATATATCTAATAGTTTTATAAAAATGTCCCGGACAAAGTTCAAAGTGTAAAAAATTAACAAAGGGCAAAATCTCTAAAATTAGGCAAGACAGAGTTATGGTTCTTTTGCACTGCACTTTTACCCAATTAGATCTATCTATCTACAAAGTTTCATGTTAATATCTCTTAAAGTTTTAGAATTATGTCCCGGACAAAGTTCAAAGTGTAAAAATAAACAAAGGGCAAAAACTCCAATACTAGACAAGACAGAGTTATGGTTCTTTTAAAATGCACTTATACCCAATTAAATGTTTCTACCTACATGCTGCTATCTTTTATAGTTTTAGAATTATGTTCCAGACAAAGTTAAAAGTGTAAAAATGAACAAAAGGCAATAACTCCAAAATAAACGCAGACAGAGTTATGGTTCTTTTACACGGCACTTCTACTTAATGAGATTTATCTACCTACAAAGTTTCATGCTGATATTTCTTATAGTTTTAGACAGTGTTAGAGTAACGTCCTGGACAAATTTCAAAGTGTAAAAATGAACAAAGGGCAATAACTCCAAAAATAGGCAAGATAGAGCTATGGTTCTTTTGTATGCACTTCTACCCAATGAGATCTATATACCTCCCAAGTTGCACGTTGATACATCTTGATTTTCAATGTTATGTCCCGTACAAGAATAGCGGACGGACAGACGGACAAAGCTGCGACTATATGATCACCCTTTGGGGAGCATAACAATGACTTACAATTAATAATAAAACATGTGGCATTGAAATTAAACGATATCAATATAAATGAAATTAAAAGAAAAAAAAGATATACATCAAAGCTTTCGATACATCCTTTAGAATAGAAACAAACTTATACAAAATATTCTACTTATCGAGTAAAATGAAAACAAGTCTTACGTAGTCTTAGTAGTAAATTAGAATATCTCAAACTTCAGGGAAAATATAACTAAAGCTGTCACAGAAATGACATTTAACTCCCCTTTCTCTTAGACAAAGGAGTTTATTTAGGACCATGTATTTTAAGGAGTGGAGGAATTACAGAGCGGACGCAGCGGAGACAGTCGGACTAACTGATTTACAATATGACAAATTGATTACAGATCTGCCCATTCTACATTTTGTGGTGGGGATATGCTTATGTTAAGTCTTAACCCTTTCGCTGCCAGAGGGTTATTGTTTTATTGTTCACCTATTTGCCAGAGGATTTTCTAAGAAATTACTGTATTATTAATAAATATAATTATTATTATTTGTTATTAGTATTATGATAATTATATATGTTTCCAATTCTTTCAGTATAATAATAATTATTGTCGATGGTACAATTTTCTTTATATTTATTATTATTTTTATTATTATTATTTTATTATTATTACTATAATTATTATAGAAACGGCTAAAGCCGTCCATATGGCAAATACGCCGAAAATAAAAGGGACGGCTTAAGCCGTCCCTATGGCAGTGAAAGGGTTAATAATATTTTTGACAAGTTTAATAAATAGAACTAGATCTACTGTATATGTAATGATGTCTTATAAAATGATTTTTTTATAATATAAAAAGCTGCTGCATACTATTGCACACTTCTGAAAAGGGAAATAATGCAATAAACTTTTATTATAACCGGAAGAGGAAGTTAGTAATTTCCCTTTGTATCTCCACTCATTACCATATCAGGAAGTAAAAATAGATATAAAAATTTTCATCCATTTAGTCAGGTAATTATAAATTCGTTTTCTTTATTATTTTCATGACATATCATTGAAGAGTCACAAGTTAATTTTATACACATAATTCAAACATTCATAGCAAAATCATAAGTAAGTATAAGTAAAATGTTACGGTCAAATGCCTCCCTAACTGCTCTTATTGAAATTAAATGTGCTATTATTGAAGATAAAAACACACTGACAAAAAAGGAAATTCATTACAACAGATAAATGAAAACGTTTTAAATATTCTTTAACATTGGAAGTCAAAAGCTTTCAATATTTCAAAGGACATGATTTGACTTTGAAACTAAACAATATCAATATAAAATATTGGGATAATATCTGAATATTTTATCATATCAAATGACATTGACCTTGCAAATATCTACATAATTACATGTGTCACACTTGTAGTGATGATGTTTATCATTTGTGTTATAATCCATCAATAAATGATGACTAAATAATCCTCATACACAAATTTACCTCTCTATGTGACTTTGCTAGCAGGAACCTGGATTATGTGCACAATACTTAGTTTCACAATGATTATGACCATTTATGTGTCTCGATCCCTTAATATGATGACCAAATGGTCCAAATACACTTTTTCATATATTTATCAGAATTTGACCCCTATGTGTGACCTTGACCTTGGCCACAAGGACCTAAATTTTGCACGCGACACTCTGCATCACCAGGATGAACATTTGTTCCAAGTTATATTGAAATCCCTCTATGCATGTAGAAGTTTTGCTCTGTACAAGCATTTTTCAATGACCTCTTATAGTGGTGAATATTTCCATAAAGCTTCATTAGTATCCCTTAATATGTGTAGGAGATATGCTCTGGACAAAATCTCTTTATTTAATCACCTTTAGTGACTTTGACCTTGCATATATTATCCTAAATTACATGTTTGACACCCGTTATCATGATAATGACCATTTATGTTTCAATCCTTCAATAAATGATGACTAAATGGTCCAAATACACATTTTCATATTTTTATCTGAACTTTGACCACTACGTGTGACCTTGACCTTGGCCACATGAACTTAAATTTTACATGCGAAACTCCGCGTCACAATGGTGAACACTTGTGCTAAGTTAAATCGAAATCCCTCTATGCATATAGAACTTTTGCTCCGAACAAGCGTTTTTCAATGGCCTCTAAGTGTGACCTTGACCTTTTACCTAGAGACCTCGTTTATGCGCATGACACTGCCTATTAAAGTTGTGAACATTTCCATGAAGTTTTATATATGTTTAGAAGATATTCTCTAGATAAAATCTCTGTATTTTATTACCTTCAGTGACCTTCCCATTTCATATGTTAACCTATATTTCATGTTTCACAACCGTAGTCATATTAATGACCATTTGTGTTTCAATCCCACAAAATGATGACTTAAAGATCCAAATACACATTTCCATAGTTTTATCTGATCTAAATTGGACACCGCCCCAACCCCCACCCCCACGGCTCACCCACCCGCCGGTGGGGGGGGGGACTACAATACTACCTGTTTTTAAACGGGCGAATTAGAGTACATCAAAGCTTTCGATAAAACCTTTGAAACAGCAACAAACTTTTACAAAATATATTCTAATTTCAGAGTAAAATGAAAACAAGTCTTATTTAAAGTAATCTTTCTTGTAAATTAAAATATCACTACAGGGAGAATATTACTAGACCAGGCACAGAAATGACAGTTTACTCCACTATCTCTTTGACAAAGGAATTTATTTAGGTCCATATATTACAAGGGGCGTAGGAATTAAAGAGCTGAACATGAAGGAGAAGTCGGACTGGCTGACTTACAAATATGACAAAGTGATTACAGAATAGTCAATGGACATTTTGTGGTGGGGATATGATTATGTTATGTCTTAATAAATTTTTAACAAGTTTGATATAACAAACTATATGCAACGATGTCTTATAAAATGCTTTTTATAATATCAAAAGCTGTATAATATTGTACACTACTGAAAAGGGAAATATTTGATTAATTTTTGATATAACAGGAAGAGAAATGAAGTGAAACAGGAAGAAAAATTAAGTGAATCATTTCCCTCTGTATCTCCATTCACATCTAAAACATGAAGTAAAAATATACACAATCTAGTCAGGTAATAAGATTTTCTTGAATATATTCAGGGCACATCATTGAAGAGTCAGTACAAATTAATTTTATAAAATCAACATAATTCAAATTTATAGTAAAATTGGAATGCAAAAAGCTTTCAATATTTCAAAGGACAAGATTAATCAACTCTTAATAACAGATTAAACAGAAAGTAGAATTATGTTTTAAAGAGTTTTGTTTAAAACCAAAAATGAAAATAGAAAAATATATTTAAAGTAAGTCGAAATTGGGTTTATTACACCCTAACACCGTAATCTATAATCAATTCAAATCAACGAAATAAAGAACAAATATTTCAATACAAATATATAAAGAAATCAAAACAAAATACTGGATCTGTAACGAAATACTTTACTAATTAAACTGTTCTATGTTCCACCAAGAGCTTGCTTTGCATTGGTTTGTATATTATTTAGTTCCTGGTCTATTTTATGATTTTCTTTGTTACAATAATGTTTGATATATATGTTAACAGTGTACTTACTGTATTTGCAATAAAATGATAATATTGTAAATGGTCAAAAGCAAACTTGTAGCAGATTGCCCAAAAAATGAACTTAACTGAACTAAATACTAGCTTGTCTTTTATCAATCGATATCATACACTCTCTAAACTTAATTATGCAATTAAAATGACACAATATCCTGTTCAGTTCTGTTCTATGCATAGGTGAAAAAAACTGGAAAAAGTAATAAGTATAAGTATTTAACAAAAGAATCTGTGTTGCTAATTCAAGTTTACTTTCCTTACATTACAGAATGTGTCAATCACCTGACAACAGGAAACATATATCACTGATGTTATCAGCGGTTTTAGATGATATTGGTGTAAATGACAGAATGGTGATGAGAGGAAGAAAAACTTTCAACTTGATAGAGACTATGCATAACATCATTTCGAAGTCAGTTGGGTACAATATGACTTCATATTTTCTAGGGAGTAAGACTGAGGGAACAACTACTTCAGGACTGAAGTCAGACATTGATGAGCTACTTTCTATGAATGATTACAATATAATACAGAACAGGTCAGAATGGGAACATGGCAAAGCAAACTACTTCATGATACAGGATGAGAACACTACCCCTGGGTATTGTTTTCTACAAGATACCCAACGTGATAAACCTCTTCCTGTCATTGATGATCCTCTTCCTGCCAATGTTATTCCATATATATTCCATATAAGTGATAGGAAAGGAAGAATATTGTGTAAGAACACAATAAAAGAAGTTCTTTATATTGAACAATCTACATATCATGGACCATCAATTGCAATAAAGGGGCAACAAGGATGCATCGACTCAGACCATGTGACAGCTTTTCCCTGTAAATCATGGCCAAAGTCAGCAGCATCAGAATGGTTAGAGAGACAATGTATTGGTAAATGGCCAACACAAGAGATGAGAAAAAAAGCAGTCAGTACTGTGTGTTTAGTTGTTCCAACTGGGAGTAAGGTCAGTGAATACCCTGAATTGGAGTGGAGAATATCAACATGCCTTGCAGAAAGATGTCTAATGTTTGATTTAAATATAACACAAATAAAGTGCTATGTTTTAATGAAGATGATTCTTAAATCTCTTTTAAATCCTCAAGGGAAAATAAACATATCAAGTTTCATGTGTAAAACAATTCTATTTCATTGTATTGAACAAAAAGAGCCAAGCGTTTGGAAAGAGAACAATTTATTAGAATGTTTGAAAGACTGCTTTATGAAATTAAGCAGTTGTGTACAAAATGATCATTTGTCACATTTCATTATACCGGAAAACAATTTGATTGCAGGGCAATTTACAGCTGACCAAAAACATCAACTTTTAAAAAATATAAATGACTTTATACAGAATGATGTACAAAGTTTACTTAGAATCAATATTGATGATCTTGGACAAAGACTTCGAGTTAAACGGAACTTAGTACCAAAAAGACAATACGATTTATTATCTTCACTGGATATTTGTGAACGTGTTTCTACTTTCAATTACATAACATTCTCAAACGACTGTATCAATGACCATTCTCTTTATTTAATTGAATCACATAATAAAGATATTGGAAGAATGAAGCAAACTTTAGAAAGGCTAATGGCATTCAATAACAGTGATAATCAATTAGAACATGCTGCATTTACGTTCATAGCGCCTTTTCTCTGTTCAACATATGGATCTGCCCTGGCCTCAGAATGTATAGGTTCAAAACATCAAGTGTCACCTCAAGCCTTGGCTTGGCTTTTAAATGGTTTGGAATCAGATGTCTTATCTGGCAGACTGAAATTAGCTTCAGTATTTTACAGTTCAGGGGATACAGAGAAAACTGAACTTATTCTGAAACACACTGAAAGCCAGTTTTACTCTTATCCTGTTGTCTCTCTCTGTAACTGCTGGTATTCGAAGCTTACACCAAAAGTAAACCAGAATTTAAAAGGGTATGTAATGAACAAACTGAGGACTGTGTTAAAAAATATTACAGCATTATGTGTCAGATTTTTAAAACAAGAGATCAACTGTGTTCCTCATGAACTTCAATATGAAATGTTCAGATCTACACAAGATGACATAAAACACAGAGATACAGATCTAGACTTTTGGATGGATTGGGCTGTAGTTGATTCGCTACCTTTCCTGTACTTCCTACAATATAAAGTCTACAGGCATCTTCATCACATCTAAAACAGGAAGTAAAAATAAACAGCATACAGCGAAATTTCAATCAATCTAGTCAGGTAATAAGATTTTCTTGAATATATTCAGGGCACATCATTGAAGAGTCAGTACAAATTAATTTTATAAAATCAACATAATTCAAATTTATAGTAACATTGGAATTCAAAAAGTATTCAATATTTCAAAGGACAAGATTAATCAACTCTTAATAACAGATTAAACAGAAAGTAGAATTATGTTTTAAAGAGTTTTGTTTAAACCAAAAATGAAAATAGAAAAATATATATTCAAAGTAAGTCAAAATATGGTTTATTTCACCCCAACACCGTAATATATAATCAATTCAAATCAACGAAAAAAGAACAAATATTTCAATACAAATATATAAAGAAATCAAAACAAAATACTGGATCTGTAACGAAATACTTTACTAATTAAACAGTTCTATGTTCCACCAAGAGCTTGTTTTGTATTGGTTTGTATATTATTTAGTTCCTGGTCTATTTGATGATTTTCTTTGTTACAATAATGTTTGATATATATGTTAACAGTGTACTTACTGTTTTTGCAATAAGATGATAATATTGTAAATGGTCAAAAGCAAACTTGTAGCAGATTGCCCAAAAAATGAACTTAACTGAACTAAATACTAGCATGTCTTTTATCAATCGATATCATACACTCTCTAAACTTAATTATGCAATTAAAATGACAGAATCTCCTGTTCAGTTCTGTTCTATGCATAGGTGAAAAAAACTGGGAAAAGTAATAAGTATAAGTATTTAACAAAATAATCTGTGTTGCTAATTCAAGTTTACTTTCCTTACATTACTTTCCTTACATTACAGAATGTGTCAATCACCCGACAACAGAAAACATATATCACTGATGTTATCAGAGGTTTTAGATGATGTTGGTGTAAACGACAGAATGGTGATGAGAGGAAGAAAAGTTTTCAACTTGATAGAGACTATGCATAACATCATGGATAAGTCATTTGGAAGGAATGTGGGTACATATTTTCTAGGGAGTAAAATTGAAGGAACAACTACTTTAGGACTGAAGTCAGACATTGATGAGCTTCGTCCTTTAAATGATTTGAATGTAATACAGAACTGGTCAGAATGGGAACATGGCAAAGCAAACTACTTCATGATACAGGATGAGAACACTACCCCTGGGTATTGTTTTCTACAAGATACCCAACGTGATAAACCTCTTCCTGTCATTGATGATCCTCTTCCTGCCAATGTTATTCCATATATATTCCATATAAGTGATAGGAAAGGAAGAATATTGTGTAAAAACACAGTAAAAGAAGTTCTTTATATTGAACAATCTACATTTCATGGACCATCAATTGCAATAAAGGGGCAACAAGGATGCATCGACTCAGACCATGTGACAGCTTTTCCCTGTAAATCATGGCCAAAGTCAGCAGCATCAGAATGGTTAGAGAGACAATGTATTGGTAAATGGCCAACACAAGAGATGAGAAAAAAAGCAGTCAGTACTGTGTGTTTAGTTGTTCCAACTGGGAGTAAGGTCAGTGAATACCCTGAATTGGAGTGGAGAATATCAACATGCCTTGCAGAAAGATGTCTAATGTTTGATTTAAATATAACACAAATAAAGTGCTATGTTTTAATGAAGATGATTCTTAAATCTCTTTTAAATCCTCAAGGGAAAATAAACATATCAAGTTTCATGTGTAAAACAATTCTATTTCATTGTATTGAACAAAAAGAGCCAAGCGTTTGGAAAGAGAACAATTTATTAGAATGTTTGAAAGACTGCTTTATGAAATTAAAGCAGTTGTGTACAAAATGATCATTTGTCACATTTCATTATACCGGAAAACAATTTGATTGCAGGGCAATTTACAGCTGACCAAAAACATCAACTTTTAAAAATATAAATGACTTTATACAGAATGATGTACAAAGTTTACTTAGAATCAATATTGATGATCTTGGACAAAGACTTCCGAGTTAAACGGAACTTAGTACCAAAAAGACAATACGATTTATTATCTTCACTGGATATTTGTGAACGTGTTTCTACTTTCAATTACATAACATTCTCAAACGACTGTATCAATGACCATTCTCTTTATTTAATTGAATCACATAATAAAGATATTGGAAGAATGAAGCAAACTTTAGAAAGGCTAATGGCATTCAATAACAGTGATAATCAATTAGAACATGCTGCATTTACGTTCATAGCGCCTTTTCTCTGTTCAACATATGGATCTGCCCTGGCCTCAGAATGTATAGGTTCAAAACATCAAGTGTCACCTCAAGCCTTGGCTTGGCTTTTAAATGGTTTGGAATCAGATGTCTTATCTGGCAGACTGAAATTAGCTTCAGTATTTTACAGTTCAGGGGATACAGAGAAAACTGAACTTATTCTGAAACACACTGAAAGCCAGTTTTACTCTTATCCTGTTGTCTCTCTCTGTAACTGCTGGTATTCGAAGCTTACACCAAAAGTAAAACCAGAATTTAAAAGGGTATGTAATGAACAAACTGAGGACTGTGTAAAAAATATTACAGCATTATGTGTCAGATTTTTAAAACAAGAGATCAACTGTGTTCCTCATGAACTTCAATATGAAATGTTCAGATCTACACAAGATGACATAAAACACAGAGATACAGATCTAGACTTTTGGATGGATTGGGCTGTAGTTGATTCGCTACCTTTCCTGTACTTCCTACAATATAAAGTCTACAGGCATCTTCATAGGTATCAGGATCGACAAGAAGCACTTATTAAACTTGCAATCATCATAGAAATAAATAACCTGAGGCATAAAGAAACAGCTCTCAACATTTTAGGTCAATGTATGGAACAGGAAAACAGCCCTAAACAGGCATTAAAATGTTACCTGCTTTCTCTGCAACAAAGAGCAAGAAACAATGTGGCAAGAATTCATATATGCCGGCTTCTCTCTAGTTTACTAGTTAACCAGGATAATTGACAAAAACACATATATCATGAAAGTTTTAATTATAATGCAATGCTTGTTTCAGTTGAGGTCATCCTACTGATAAAAAAGATAATCTTACGGGCTTATTTTCTGTGTATTCTATAGATTGCTAATCAAATATACAGGAGAATGTAACCAGAATGAGATTTATATAATGAGAAGTGTTAGCTTAGTGTTACATGGTCAATGGAGGTTATGTCCCCCATATATCATGTCAGCAACATATTTTACAAATTAATGAATTGCAAATTCCATTCATTTACAGTTAATGAGAAACGAAATACTATCCAAATATAAACATTTTTTATTCCCAATTTTTGATTTCTCACAAAGTCTATATTGTTTGCGTAATAATGTAAATTACATGGAATTTCAAAAAGCTATTTTGAGCTGCATTGATATTTCTTATCAGAAATTATTTAAATCTAATGCTTAGATCCTATGGAAATTATTAACTAGACTCTATAATAATAATAATAATCTAACTAGGTATTATATTGGGGAATATATATGTTACATTTTTTGTATATTGATTAGTTTATTTTAGATAGAGATACAAAAATATGCACTTAGTACTATATGTTTTGTTGTTCTAGATTTAACATGGGCTACTGATGTGATATACAGGTGATCATACTCATGTACAAAGTTTGGTAACAATCTAAGATGAAGTTTAGGAAAAAAATTGTGGGTACCAATGCACAAAAGACTTCAGGCCATCTCAAAAGCTCATTTCTGATCATATTGTGCTTACCAGAGCTAAAACTAAAAAAAATATAATATAAAGAATAGAACAAGAATATTTTGTTATTAAAACCTGATTGTTTGTTGAACGACATTCTTTAATTAGATCCAAAACTTGCAATGCTCGAGTCTTTCTTTTTGTGTGCCTGGAAAATACATGTAAACATGAAGTTATTAATAAAAGAACTATATTACACTTATCTTTATTGTGTTGTCACACTTATTCAAAATCACTTGATTCAAATCAAATAAACCCAGGTGCAGATGCATCTCATTTTACAAACTTCGAGTTGTTAATGTTTGTCTTACTAGTTTGAACGTAGCAAACATGACGTCGACTGTATCTACCGCCCAAATTAAATAATAGTCCCATCTGTGAAGGCAACATTCTTCCTTTTCCACAGTTAAGACAGAGATATAGACGTCATTATCTAGCACGTCGTTTTAAAGTCTGGGCCTCACTTAGCCTATGAACACAGCACTTTTTCCTGAGTTTTGCTTTAAGAATTTTTACTGTTACTCTGTTGACAGTGCTGTCAAGAGACACCCCACACTTAGATTTTATTTCTCCTTGTGTAGGAGGATTCATCAACATAATCATATGACGGATTTTACATACGACGTCAGCAGTAGCTGATGTGTGACTTTTGGTAAAAGAACCACTTTTACCTGTTTTGTGTATGTTATTTTGACTAGCACCTTTATTATGTTAAATGCAATGCACATGCAGTAGCAGCAGATACCTTATGTCCCATCTGTTCTACTTGTTTAACAATGTTTCTGTAGGACATTTTTTTGCTTCAAAAGTCCTTATACCTTTAACTAAATTATTTTTTTTTTGTCTAATCATATTGAATTTTCAATTCAAATGCGATAGGTATAACCGTATATGTATGATACACTACTTTACATGAATTAATCGCTTTGCACGAGTTTTTGTAAGCTTTTATATCTTATTACGCGTATTGTTTGAGTTTCATTAAAAACTGAACACCTGATGAATATATCCGGTTTCGTTACGTAAAATTCGTAGACAAATTATTAGAATTATTATCATTAATTCTGTCAGTATCCAGAATATCAAGTTTTCGGTTTTACAATGAAAAAAGATGGGGAAAATTCAGAGCCCTGTCCGGTTTACTGAGGAGATCTGGTTTTGTGGGTTTTAATTGTACTAAAAAGAATAGCATCTTCTATAAAAGGGAAATATATTGTTAAAAGAACTACTTTTCACTTATTTTACTATATTCTTTTTGTGGAACTGTGA